AGTTAGTTAGTTAGTTAGTTAGTTAGTTAGTTAGTTAGTTAGTTAGTTAGTTAGTTAGTTAGTTAGTAGTTAGTTAGTTAGTTAGTTAGTTAGTTAGTTAGTTAGTTAGTTAGTTAGTAGTAGTTAGTTAGTTAGTTAGTTAGTTAGTTTTAGTTAGTTAGTTAGTTAGTTAGTTAGTTAGTAGTTAGTTAGTTAGTAGTTAGTTAGTTAGTTAGTTAGTTAGTTAGTTAGTAGTTAGTTAGTTAGTTAGTTAGTTAGTTAGTTAGTAGTTAGTTAGTAGTTAGTAGTTAGTTAGTTAGTTAGTTAGTTAGTTAGTAGTTAGTTAGTTAGTTAGTTAGTTAGTTAGTTAGTTAGTTAGTTAGTTAGGTAGTTAGTTAGTTAGTTAGTTAGTAGTTAGTTAGTTAGTTAGTTAGTTAGTTAGTTAGTAGTTAGTTAGTTAGTTAGTTATAGTAGTTAGTTAGTTAGTTAGTTAGTTAGTTAGTAGTTAGTTAGTAGTTAGTTAGTTAGTTAGTAGTAGTTAGTTAGTTAGTTAGGTAGTTAGTTAGTTAGTTAGTTAGTTAGTTAGTTAGTTAGTTATAGTTAGTAGTTAGTTAGTTAGTTAGTTAGTTAGTTAGTTAGTTAGTTAGTAGTTAGTTAGTTAGTAGTTAGTTAGTTAGTTAGTTAGTTAGTTAGTTAGTTAGTTAGTAGTTAGTTAGTTAGTTAGTTAGTTAGTTAGTTAGTTAGTTAGTTAGTTAGTTAGTTAGTTACATGGTCATTACATGGTCAAGTACAATTACTTGTAATTTGTAATTGAGCATTAACTAATTACACTAACTTATAATTGTTATTGAGTTTTTTATTATAACTGTAATTTAGGTATTTGTACTTAAATTACAAGTAATTGTAATTGGAAATTATTCTTCAATTCCTTCTTCCATTACACTTACACAATTGTAATCGGTTTTTTGTGTGATTGCGTCCGATCTATTCCTCTGATATTAATTTTGACAAAATTTCTGACTCCATCAAGTTTAACAACAGCGCTCAGATTAGATGTTAAACTTTTAGGGTATAAGAAACGTCTAAGTAGTTCCGTACTAAATTCCAATTAATTAAACCTTATTTTTTATGGTGGGTAGGTACATATAATTCGGCACGGCCAAAAGTTTTCTTTGTTATATGTTTGTATTTTGCGTGACATACTTAACACTTACATACGCATTTGAAATTGTTGGATTATGTATTTTCTTTTGAATGTTATTTTTTTCATAAAAAATTGTTAATTGTTATTAAAGATTTAATTTACTTTCTAAAATAGAAAGAAATATGAAAGATTATTTAAATTTTATTTGAAAATTTGAAATGTTTAAATTTAAAAATTTTAATAAGTTCATTCAAGTCAGCTAGACTAATAACAAAAACGACGTTTCTTAAGAATTAAAGTTATAAATTCCCATATTTAAAATACCATTAATTTATCATTTTAAGTCTACAAACAAAAGCCACTAAATTAATTTACGATACACCCCAACCTCAAGCAATTCTATAGAATGCAAATCAAATCAATTAATAAGATTTCATGCTAAATAAAGAAGTTAATCATTATTTTCGTAAAAAAAAAGACAAAAGTTATACCGTTATTTTGAACATTTCAAATCAGATAATTTCACTCCTATCAAAAACCCGAACGAAACAAAGACATGAAATAATTTTCGTTTTTCAAATCTTTAGACAATTTTTCTGTTTATCAAATACATAAATTTCTGGCACAAATATTTTAATGTAATTCAGCGAAATTTCTCTGAATTTGTTCGTGGTTGCTCTGTAGTTTTTTTTTTCTCATTTTATTTAATCAGGAAAAAATCATGCAAGTGTATGAATGTTTTTCCAAACAATACGCATAATAAATGAGTATTGATAAAGACAACAAATAAAGTTAAACCAAACGAAAAAAAAACTATAGCAAGAAGTATACAATTTTTAACCATACAAAGTTGTGCAGTTCCTTAAAGTTCTGCTTAAAATTAATGTTGTCAGGCTTATCGTCTTGGGCCATGAAGATGAAAAAAAAACAACAACAAAGTTAAATAAAATTGTAACTTAAAATGTTAAGGCTTTTTCTTACACAGAAATTAAAAAACATGTAAAATGTAAAACATATTGCATTGATATAAACATTTGTAGAGCAAGTTACTTAGGTTATTTTTTGTAGCTTTATAAGATTTTTGCCTTATAATGTTTAATGAATTGTAATAAAATGTGAACTGGTTGGAAAAATACCAAAAAACTGCAAATCTGGCAATTCAAACCAAAAAACCCTTTTTAATATGTATTCATAAACATAGCTACAAGTGGAAAGAAAGACCTTTCTCTTTTCTCTTGGCTAAAGATTTAGTTTTATTTATTTCTATATTCTATATTTAATTTTTTACTAGAGTTTATAATATGTACATATGTATGTTGTTGCTTTTAAGTGTTATTCTTGCATGAATTACTTTTAAATTTGCCTGTTTTTTATCATTTAATTAAAGTCATTGCTCTTCTGCTTTTTAAAGATTTTTCATATTTTTGTTTTTATTACGTTATAAGTGTTTACTAAAGTGTTATAAATTGCTAAACTTTTACTTTACAACATTGTTGAAATCAAATTATTCATTTTATTTTGCTTAAACAAAAGGTGTAACCGTTTTAACGGGTTCTGTTTTTAAAAGCCCTTTTTATTAAGTTCTTATTACTTTTTTATGTAATAATTTAACAACTTTATTATTAATCGCTAAATCTTTCAAATAAAATCTAAAACAATTTTTCTTTTAGTTTATTTGATTCAGCGAATCTTCCCTTTTTCTCACACAAAGTAAAGAAAATAATTTTATGTTTTTAAGAGACAGTGCACATTAGGGCCGTACACATAAACTACTGGTCAAATTCTGTGAAACTTCGACTATATTTCGAATAGGGTTTTTTCTATTCCTGTAACTGGTATTAAGATGAGACTGTAGTCAGGAGTATATATCAATATAGAGTCTGAACTATATATTATGTATATCAATCTATAATCTGGACAATAGATCAATCTATAGCCTGGACTACAGATCAATCTATAATCTGGACAAAAGATCAATCTATAATCTGATCTATAGATCAATCTATAGTCTGGATTATAGATCAATCTATAGTCTGTATTAAAGATCAATCTATAGTCTGGATTATAGATCAATCTATAGTCTGGATTATAGATCAATCTATAGCCTGGACTATAAATCATTCTATAGTCTGGACTATAGATCAATCTATAATCTGGACTATAAATTAGACTATGGTCAGGAGTATAGATCAATCTAGATTCTGAACTATAGATCAGTCTATAGCCTGGACCATATATCAATCTATAGCCCAGACTATATATCAATCTATAGTCTGGACTATAGATCAATATATAGTCCAAAATATAGATCAATCTATAGACTAGACTCTAAATAATTCTATGGTTTAGACTATAGATCAATGTATAGTCTGGACTATAGATCAATATATAGTTTAGACTATAGATTAATCTATATTCTGTAGTATAGATCATTCTATAGACTGGTCTAGAGATCAATCTATAGTCTGGACTATATATTAATCTACATTCTGTACTATAGATCAATCTATAGTCTGAACTATAGATCAATCTACAATCTGAACTATAGATTAATTTATAGTCTGGACTTAAGATCAATCTATAGTCTGGACTATAGTTCAATCTGTAGTCTGGACAATAGATCAATCTATAGTCTGGACGATAGATCAATCTATAGTCTGGACTATAGATCTATTTATAGTCTGGACTCAAAGTATAGTCGGGACTATACATGGACATAACAATTTATAGTCTGAACTCGAAGTATAGTCTGGACTATACATCAATCTATAGTCTGCACTGTAGATCAAACTATAGTCTACACTATAGATTAATTTACGTCATACCTGATTTTTTAGAATGCCTACGAAACAAATTCTTTTGCTGGGTTGTTAATTTTAAAGATTCTACTACATCTTTTGCTGGGTTGTTAATGTTAAAGATTCTACGATATCTTTTGCAGGGTTCTGACTGTCTCCCATTAAAAAAAATCCTCCACTTTCTCGAAATTCCAAAATTTTTCTTACCACAGTTAAGGAAATAAATTAAACACATTATTTAATGTTTTTAAAAACAAAATTAATATGTTTTCAAAAACCAAAAATAAAACATTAAAAAAGTCCAGCTGTTTCCTCTTACAATCAAGAAATCCTTATTTTTTTTTTTTTTTTTTGCACCATTCTTTTGTAGAAAACCTATAGCTTGCAAAATACAAATACGTTACACTTTTGTCTGTATTAAATATTATCTAAAATCATGCCATTTACAATAATATTTTTCTGCACATAAGGAGCATAAAGGAATCACACAAATACAAATAAACTGCAACGCCAACAAGAATTAATGTTGGCAATTTATAATGGCAACAGAACAACAATGTTGCAAAGAATATTACGTATAAGCAACAGCAACATATAACAAGGCTAGACTTCCAATACACTTATAAATGAGAATAAAAAAATCTAAAATTTAAAGAATAAAATTTACATACAAGAATAGAACTTTTACAGATTGTATTGTATGAATGGGTAAAGGAGACACTTGTATCTTGTGGTAGTGTGTTATCGAGAAAAAAAAGTAAACAAAAACGAAATTCTTATGGGGTGATTTAAATACAAAAATTTACATTTAACTTGTCTTGAATTCATTAAGACTTAGATGACAGTTTCGTATTGGCGCTCAAATCAAAAAAAAAAAAAAGTTTGAAATATAGATTCAGTAATGTATACTTAAGGAACACAACATTGTTATGACTTTTAAGTTATTTTTGAAAAGTTTTGGTAGGAAATTTTTATACTGGAATACCAAAAGTACTTTTGCTTAATTTTAAAATTTGCTAACAAATTTATATATTTCTAAATTTCACTTTTAAAAATGTTGTTGTTTTTTTAACTTTCAGGTCACCATTATTCTCAAAGATGTCAACGATGAAGCTCCCATCTTTCTTAGTTCGAATGTAACAGAAGTTCTAGAGAACATACCCCTCAACACAGTGGTAATGGTGGTTAAGGCTGTCGATAGAGATGAAGGTAAAAATGGTTACATCGAATATATACTTAAAGGAGAAAATTCTTTACCCTTTACACTGGGACCAGTAGATGGTTTACTACGTGTATCCGGTAAATTAGATAGAGAAATGAAAAACTCCTATATGTTAAATATAACAGCCAAAGATAGAGGAGAACCCGAGAAATCAACACAAAGTCAAATTCATGTTAAAATACTCGATGAAAATGATAATGCACCGATATTTGATCCGAAACAATACACAGCTTCAGTAGCTGAAAATGCTAGTATTGGTGCCATGGTCTTGCAAGTATCCGCCACCGATGTCGATGAGGGAGCCAATGGTCGTGTGCGTTTTGCCATCGTAGGCGGAGATGATAATCGTGATTTTATGATAAGCGAAGACTCTGGTATTGTAAGAGTTAGTAAAAATCTTAACTATGAACGCAAATCACGTTATGTGTTGACAGTGAAGGCAGAAGATTCAGCTGCTGATTTGGGTTTGGCATATGACAATGAAAAGGGCCGCAACAAGTTATCGCACTTGTTTGAGAATCGTTATGATTTAGCTGAAATAACAATTGTCATTACGGACATTAATGATAATCCACCTACATTTTTGGATTCTCCCTATTTGGCGTATGTTATGGAAAATGTTATACCACCAAATGGTGGTTATGTCTTAACTGTACAGGCATATGATGCTGATACACCACCATTTAATTCGCTAGTACGTTATTTTCTAAAAGAAGGTGATACCGATCTATTTCGTATAAATGCATCGACTGGTGAAATATCACTATTACGCTCTTTGGATCGTGAAGCAAAAGCTGAATATACATTAACATTGGTAGCCATGGATACGGGTAAGTTCAAAAATATTTTACATACTAAATACGAAAAAAATGGAAAAAAGCTAAAATTGATCATAATCTTTAACAACAAGTGTTCATTTAACGTTGCCACAAATATGCATGATTTTTTTTTTTTTGTATTTTGTACAAAATTGCTTAAGAGGCACACACAAAAATTGTTGTAAAGTATGAGTAGTAAAATATTGATGATAATAATCATTTCACTATAAGAAGTTAATTTAGCTTAAGGGGCTTAATTTTTTAAACTTATTCTGTTTGAGCTTTTTCTTCTTCGTTTGCGTATGCCACAACAACAATACAAAAGACAAAAAAAATCGTTACACATTGCTTATAGCTAATGATCAATATCAATATTATTTTGAAATATGTATGTTGTTATAGCTCATCAGAATCATGATCATCTTTATTGATAATGTTTGCAAAATGCCAAAGAAGAGTAAAACTAAAAGCACTACAAATGTAAAGAGAGAGAGAGAGAGAGAGAAAAAAAATGAGGAAGTTTATGCAAAGCAGTTCATCAATTTACAAAAATTTTATTTAATATGTATTATGTCCTTAATTATTATAAGATATTTGAAAGGTATGCTAAAGTTTTAGTGGAGAGCAAAAAGATTTTTGATATGCTTTATATTAAAGAAAAAGTCCTCAATATAATTTTGCTATATCCTAAGGACTAAAAAGTTCATGAACCTTTTGTTATTGCATAATAACATACTTGTCAGAATTAGCGTAGTGACAGTTGTCATAAGTATTAGGTTCGTATTTTGTCAAAGCTCCGAAAATAGTTGCTGAATGCTGAAGGATGAAATATTCCACAAATATCCTTTGCTGATGAATTAAATAAAATTTGATTATAAGGAAACTAGCATACCCTAGGTGCTTCGCTACCCTAACTTAAATTAAATACATACAAAATTTTGTTTACTTTTATAGAAAATTAAAATTGATTAAACATTTTTTAATGTTTTAGTTTTATACGTTCAATATCACGTGATATTCAGTAAGAAGCTTGTATTTTTAGTTTCATTCATTTAGCTTCCACATTATGGAAAATTTGAAAAAAAGTACTATAAAATACCTCTAATAGATTATCATTTAATCAAAAATTTTATGTTTCTGTGTTCAATATTATATACAATTTAAAAAATATAATTTTAATGAATGAAAAAGTACCAAAAGTCCCTTTCAGTAGATTCTCATTCACTAAGGTCCCTACATTTTAAACTTTATTTTCAATATCTATGTTCAATATCGTAAAAATATCAAAAAGTACTATCGGAAAAACGTAAAAGTACAAAAATATCTCTCAATAAATTCTCATTTAATAAGGACCGTGTGTTCCGGTTAACCATTATAAAGAATCTAAAAGGTACCATTTGAAGAATAGAAAAGTACCAAATAGTTCCCACTTACAGAATATTATTCAGTCAAGACCATGTATGTTGAAATTAATGTTCCTGGGTTGAATATTTTAGAAAATTAAAAAAGTACCATTTATGAGATAAAAAGTACTAAAAAGTTCTCTTCTAAAGAATCTTATTCAATGAGGACCGTGTATGTTTAATAATCATGTGTTTTGAATTCATATTAAAGAACATACAAAGAGTATCATTTGAAGAAAGAAAAAGTACCAAATGTGGAATAAAATTTACCTAAGTGGAAAGTACTAATAAAAATAGTACAATTTTTCCCCTTTTCGCGTAGAAATATACTTTTTCGAGAATTAAGTTTACAAAATGTTCCGTATTTAAATCTATATATCACAGATAAAACTCAAACGATTCAAATCTGCATTCATTTGTTCCAGAAAAATAGTGCTTTCAAAAAGTACCAAACAATTTACTCGAATTTGGTCCTATATACACTTAGTACTCGAATTCCAAAATAATATACCAACAGCTTATTTTGTGTGAGTAAATAAACTACTTTTTCAAATTTTAAAAAAATTGGCTCAATGAGTTTGAATAAAATTAAATTTCCCGTTTTTCCCCCTTTTTGGTACTTTTTTCCCCAGTGAAATAGCAAAAATTTTATTACAATAAATATTACAGAGTTAGTCCGTAATTTAATAGGAATAATTCAATAAACCGAAAAAGTTTTGTTAATGTGCTAAAAAAAAGTACCATAAATACAGTTTTCTCCCTTTTACACCCAAAAAGGGCTGAATTTTAAAAAAGTACGAAACAGGTGTCTTATAATTTTGGGAGATGTATCCAAAATATTTATACAAATTTTATTATGTTAATTAATCCAAAAGTTATAAGGGGCCAAAAAAGGTACCCAAATCACCATTGTTACACATTTTTACCCCTTAAAAGTACGAATTTCAAAAATGTACCAGACACCCATCTGCTCATTTTAAGAGTAGATACAGGTGCATTTAGAATTTTTCTTGTATCACTAATATTGTGTAAGATAATTAAGAAAACCTGTTTTACCCGTTTTTTCCCCTTTTTACCCGTAAATGTACAAAATTCCAAAAATCCCTCCTTAGTGGATCTACATAACCAAAAACACATCTACTGTCAAAATTTCATGATTCTAGGTTCAGCCGTTTGGGCTGTGCGATGATGAATCAGTCAGTCAGTAACGCTACTCTTTTATAAATATAGATTAAGCTTTAATGACTGCGACTTTCAACATCGGCACGATCTAGTTGAAAGAAAAATACCTTATATAATTTCACATGATAATTTTACAAAATTATCATTTTCACTTTGTAATCATAACTTTTCAGCCAAATATCTTTTAGTAAATTACTCACTCACAACACATTCAGACAAACATATTTTTGATCAAAATGATGTAATAATAACTTTGTAACTTATACCGTTATCATTTCAAATAAACTTCCAAAAACAGTAAGCGAAAAGGTGATCAGCAGGCACATTATGTGCCATCAGTTTTATGGAAAACAATAAATATTATTAAACAAAAACAAAAATGAAATGGAAAACCCCTCCAAGAAGAAGTTTTACAAAGCATATTTGTCAAACTTACACTTTAAAATAATAATTAAGCAAAAAGCCAAAAAAAAACTCAAACACACAAAACAGGGCTACATATACATAATAATAACAAACACAAATACTACTATAGAATCAAAAAATATAAATTAGGTTGGCCCCAAAAAAAGTGGTCGATGTTCCCTATTTTCTAAAGTTTCATTGAAATGAATTTCCATGTAAATTATTAATATTTGACTCGACTTGTTAAAGGGTTAAAGTATTTTTGAAGAGAACTATAGGTTAGTCCCATTAGGACACACTGGCTTTATAAAAACCTGATTACAGGAAGTTCAGCGTACATGTTACTGGGATATATGTGGGGTCATAAGCCACTTCAACTAAGGCTCTGGAAATGTTGTTCGATATCCCCCCTATAGGAACTTATATAAAATGTATGAGGTACTTCAGCCGAACGGGTTTTAACTTTAAGAGAATTGACCAAAGGTGGTTATTTAACACATCATTAATGTCGATTGAACATATTAAAAGACATGCATACCAGACAAAGAATTTGTGTCAGGAACCTTGATAGACTAATCCCATAAAGAATGTCATAGTCAAGCGGAACATTAGTGCAAATATCCGTAGGAATTCGTTATTACACGAATAGCTCTAAACTGGATAAAGCTGGAGCGAAATACTCCAGAATCACAACACAATATTAGCTTCTAAGCTGAAGTTCATGAAGTAACGGCAATCACAGTCGAACGAGTCCTAACTTTAAGAGAATTGACTAAAGGCGGTTATATAACATATCATTAATGTCAACATGCTTACCAGACAAATAATTTATCAGGAACCTTGAGACACTTGAGATCCCAGATAGAATGTCATAGTCAAACGGAACTTTAGTCCAAATACACATAGGAATTCGTTACTACACTAATGGCTCTAAACTGGAAAAGGTAGGCTTGAAACCGCAGAATCAGAGGTATACTGTAGTCTACTTAATCACAATATTCTCTTCCCGGCAGAAATCCGTGCCATAACAGAATATGCAAATCAGAATTAATATGCTGTCAACGGAGGTTAACAGGCCATTCATCACTTCAAAATGAGTAAATCTTAGGTTATTATGATGTTACGATGACAAAATTAAACCAACGAATTTAGACAAATGAAGAGCATCCGGAGAGGGCAGTAAAAGCCTTTCTTTGTCATGTTCTTCATTTTGGCTTATGGCTTTTTTGGAAATTGGATCCAAATATCTTGGGAGTGATGTAATTCCAAATATAACAATCCTCACGAACACTGATTGAAAAATATTCAGGAACAAAGTCCTTAAGAACTTCTGAACATCGGAAGATAATACATTTAGTGAAGGTTTTTGTTTTTATTAATAAACATTTTCATGAAAAGGTTGACCTAGGTTCTTAAGCCTGAGTTTCTGAATATCAAACGATAACACCTTCATAAATCACTATACGAATAACAGGGTCAATATTGGACTAAATGTATTCGATTTACCTAACCTTAATTAAGTAGAGGAAATCGGCAACGAGCTATTTCTCCATACAACCATAACCACCCTAATATATATTTGTATATAGACACAAAACTACTACTGCATATTTAACAAAAAATACACTACACTTGCCTTCAAAATAAAAAAAAAAAATATTTAGTATATAAAATGAGTAACAAAACAGAAAAAAAAAAAAAGAAAAAATCACATGAGCAACTTTTAACAAATTACAGTAATTATCAAAATGTATTTTAGTTTAAGGGCACAAAAACATAAGCCAAAATGAAAAGAATAAACAACTACATACAGCCACAAAAAAAAAACAGATAAAAAAGAACTCACTCAACTAAAAGATACATATGTTAAGATAGTGAAAGATGTTTTATGAAAGTAGCAGTATTGTATGCAGATAGTATGCCAAAAAGAAGTTATGGTACTTGCAGTAGTTAAAAGAAAAACACAATATATATATGTGTGGGGTTGGATTTAAACCCAAATGGAGAAAAAAAAAACAACAA